AGTTTCACTTTTTAAATGGAATTACTGAAATAAATCTACTTTTTCATGATATTCTAATTTTATGACCAGCACCTGTATACAAGCAGAGGGCAAAATGAGACTCTCAACATGAGAGAAACTATCTACTACAGATAATCTATCTGAAAGTCTTGTTTTTATTTTAAAAAACACCAAAAATCTGAGATCCATCCAATAATTATTTAATTTAGGTCAAGTTTTCAGAAAATACATATTTTTAAAAAGATGTTTCATCAATTTAACTAAAAATATAAATAAAAACTGTGTCTTTGTGACAGCCTCTTATAGTCAACGAGCATAAAATTTCTTTTAAAAATGTTTTTATGCTAAGTTGTCTGTGATGATATTCTCTAAGCTTTGTAGCATATGATATTCTCTAAGCTTTGTAGCTTTTTTGTTTTCCCTGAACAATTTAAAAATCTGACTTTATAGACCAAATGTCAGGTTTGGATTGAAAATGTTTGAAAAAAAAAAATAAAGCAACTGAAGTAAAAAAAAAAAAAAATCACCTGAAAGCTTGGAGAACTGCTGAGAACATTAAAAAAACTAGAACACCACTCAAAATGAGAGATGACTCAAGACTTTTGCACAGTGTATACAAAGGATTTTTTTGTCAATTGTCAGATTAAAATAATCTTTAAAGAGGTTTCTTTGTCAGTTTTTCAGAACCCTGATCAGATTTTAGATTTTTAGTCAGTAAATAATTTAAATGCCACTGAAATTGCTTCCATTACTTCATTTATTTGTATTTTCTGTTTTTTTTTTTTGCCTTGACAAATACACACTTTTTACTTGCAACCAAACTTTGATCAGACTGATATTTATAAACTACATGTCAGAGCATCAAGAATAAATTGATAATATATTTAGGCAGTAAACAAAAAACAAGAGGGTGCAACTTAAATCCTTTAATAGCTGCAGTAAAGATTATAAATACGCATGTCATACAGTATTTACACAGAGATGTTTCAGTAGCGTGTGTAAAGCTCTCAGACCACCGGGCTTTAAAAAGGCCCAAATTTTGGCACGAGTCAGGTAAAAATCTACACCATGACTGTTTTCAAAAAGTTGGCAGCACTGAGCCGAAGTCAACATGATCAAACACACAGAGAGAGGAAAAGACAACATGTGAAGTCACTACGACACATTCAAGAGAAAATTTCAAAGCCTGAGAAGTTCTAAATCATCGCAAACAGACCAACTTTGGTTGTCGACATAAACAGGTCAAGCTCTGCTGCGCTGCTCACAAATGTAAAAATTCATGTACAGACATAGAAACTGTATTTTGTAAGGCAGAAGTGCTTTTTCTCAGGAGTAGGTGTTGGTATTTAAACAAAAACCCGTTTTAACCCATCAAAAAAAATTAAATATGGTTACATACATGTCCGTGTGTAACCCAATCCTAATGAAGCTAGGATGTTGTGTAAAACATAATTATCTGTTTGAACATGAAATATCTCATCTTTATAATTTGAAAGGGATTTGAAAATCCTCATATTGTGTTTTTAGTGTTTTACACAGCGTCTCAGCTTGACTAAAACTGTGGTTGTACATCTACTGTACACAATACAGTATACTAATATACATTAATTACCAGGTCGATTAAAGAAGCAGCTGTAAGAATTACATCAAAGTGTAAACTGTAACTTCCTAAATGAGCAAACTCATCTTTGAGTCGAGATCCAACACTGTTAATGCATCAGGCTGACATTAAGCAAGCAGAAATCATCTAACACTAAATAATGCACGACTACAAACGAGAACTTTGTTTCCCCACGCAACAATAAAAGACATTTATGTTTTCATCTGTGATGAGCGTGTCTGTTCTGGTCACCTTTATTCATGCTTTACTAACAGATCCAGCTGCTGAGTCTCTCAGGCAGTGATGAGTTGATGTTGTTTGCACCGTTTCATGCAGAAAAGTAAAGTTTCCATTATTTTATTGAGTTTTTATTATTATTTTTTGGTTAAATCAACTGTTGAAGTTCGGTTTAAAGATAGATTATTTATAGAATCTCACAAAAAGTGAGACGAAGGAGTTTTTTATTCTTACACAGTGCGTGTGTTTTCCACATTCCAGGGTTTTATGTGTGGAAGTCCGAGGACAAGTTAAGTTCATTTTGGAAGAAGGCTTCGATGTGACAAAATGTGACTTTCCAGATGCCCTGCACATAAACCTTTAGATTTGACTTCAAATTTATTACTTTTAATAAATACAAGGTGGTATTTTTATTCTTCTGAATGGTTCTGAACTGTAATTTCATTGTGCTCTGTACAATGACAATAAAGGTCTAATCTAATCTAACATAATTCATGAAGGGTTTTTGGTCCGACTTAGCACCTGGTGGTAAAAAGCTTTGTGGAAGTGCTCTGGTTATCACACTCGCGACATTTTTTACTTGTTCCTGATAAAATAATGGAACATTTACTTTTAAAAAAAAGGCTGTTGTACTTGATGCACAGAACGGGCTGTGTGTGTGCAGACGGTGCATCGTTTCTACATTCCCCTCAGCTCCTGTTGGTGGTTCTGGTCTCAGCTCATCTGCTCCAGGTAGGCGGATAGCAGCAGGTTAGGAGGCAGAAACTCCTCCTGTTTGTTCACCACTTCGGTCTGACGGGACCCATTGTAGTTGATGCCTGCAGGTCCAGAACAAACATAGAAGCAGATCCGGTCACATTACGTTTTAGACAAATTATGCTAATGTTGTCCAATTTTATTCAGGTTTTGGTGTAAGTTGCATAAGTTAGGTGTAAGTTTTCAATATGTTAACATAATGGTAAGACAAGTTCAGCTTATGCTGGTAAGTGAGGCACAAGTTACAGGTATGTTACAGGTAAGTTCTTCATTCATAAGTGGACATTTGTCCTAAACGAGCGGGCAACTCTGAAACAAACACAAATGTTTTTTTAACCTCTGACTACCTTCATTTAAAAAGAGCTTATGTGCAAAGTCAGTTTAACTTATATGAATAAATTAAACTGACTTAGCACATAAGCTCTTTTTAAAATGATKATTATTATTATTAGAAAAAATACAGATAAACAGAATCAATGCCAAAAATAATTATTTTATATTTTAATCAATAAATGTTAGAATGTTAATTAATGTTACAGTAAGGTTCTAAATATAAACAAGTTTTGCACAAATAATTTCGTTTAGAATTTTTAAATCTTGTGTCAAATTCAAAATGCAACTATTTCAACCCGATGCTTTGACAAGAAAAAAAAGAAACATTTGCAAGTTTTGCATTTGCAAAAAAAAAAAAAAAACACACCATTACTTTAATCCTGGTCAAAGTTTCACTGTTAACGTTTAATTCTCAAAAGTAAAGCAACACAAGACACGCCTACAAGCTGCGCTCTGATCAAACTGAGGCACAACGACTGCCCAGAACACACGCAGCTGTTGCTTTACRCATGTGCATGTGTACATGTATTACACCATGTATGTTTAATATACATGTGTGTATACGGGCAGTAGATAACTTTATTTTTTCTAGACTGAGAGTATCTGAATAGGGTAGGCAAGTAAAAGATTTGGCTTCAGCCTATTTATTTATTTATTTATTTATTTATTTATTTATTTATTTAAGTAAATTATTGATTTGTATTTGTAAAAATAGCTTTTTTAAATAATGTAAATTTACCAAAATAAATATAAATTTAAAACTAAATTTACCTCCTTCTCTGGGTTCATCTTGTCTGATAGGCTGGTTCAAAAAAAATCTGCTTTGGTTTGCTCAGAAATTACGTGTCTCCTTCATAAATGCTCAGCTTGTTTCCAACATATCTTATGAGTAACTTTCATGTGTGAACATATACACTCACCGGCCACTTTATTAGGTACACCAYGCCAGTAACGGGTTGGACCCCATTTTGCCTTCAGAACTGCCTCAATTCTTCGTGGCATAGATTCAACAAGGTGCTGGAAGCRTTCCTCAGAGATTTTGGTCCATATTGACATGATGGCATCACACAGTTGCCGCAGATTTGTCGGCTGCACATCCATGATGCGAATCTCCCGTTCCACCACATCCCAAAGATGCTCTATTGGATTGAGATCTGGTGACTGTGGAGGCCATTTGAGTACAGTGAACTCATTGTCATGTTCAAGAAACCAGTCTGAGATGATTCCAGCTTTATGACATGGCGCATTATCCTGCTGAAARTAGCCATCAGATGTTGGGTACATTGTGGTCATAAAGGGATGGACATGGTCAGCAACAATACTCAGGTAGGCTGTGGCGTTGCAACGATGCTCAATTGGTACCAAGGGGCCCAAAGAGTGCCAAGAAAAGATTCCCCACACCATGACACCACCACCACCAGCCTGAACCGTTGATACAAGGCAGGATGGATCCATGCTTTCATGTTGTTGACGCCAAATTCTGACCCTACCATCCGAATGTCGCAGCAGAAATCRAGACTCATCAGACCAAACAACGTTTTTCCAATCTTCTCTTGTCCAATTTCGATGAGCTTGTGCAAATTGTAGCCTCAGTTTCCTGTTCTTAGCTGAAAGGAGTGGCACCCGGTGTGGTCTTCTGCTGCTGAAGCCCATCTGCCTCAAAGTTCGACGTACTGTGCGTTCAGAGATGCTCTTCTGCCTACCTTGGTTGTAACGGGTGGTTATTTGAGTCACTGTTGCCTTTCTATCAGCTCAAACCAGTCTGCCCATTCTCCTCTGACCTCTGGCATCAACAAGTCATTTCCACCCACAGGACTGCCGCTCACTGGATGTTTTTTCTTTTTCGGACCATTCTCTGTAAACCCTAGAGATGGTTGTGCGTGAAAATCCCAGTAGATCAGCAGTTTCTGAAATACTCAGACCAGCCCTTCTGGCACCAACAACCATGCCACGTTCAAAGGCACTCAAATCACCTTTCTTCCCCATACTGATGCTCRGTTTGAACTGCAGGAGATTGTCTTGACCATGTCTACATGCCTAAATGCACTGAGTTGCCGCCATGTGATTGGCTGATTAGAAATTAAGTGTTAACGAGCAGTTGGACAGGTGTACCTAATAAAGTGGCCAGTGAGTGTATATAACTTATTGTAACAGGCCTGAAACGTGTGTAAAAAGAAGTTACACTAATGTTGCACATAAGCTCCACAAAACACTATAATATACAGTAATATGTACAGGTTATGTACAAGTTTAGGTTTCATACTTGTTCAAGTCATTAGCAACACGATATGATCACACCAAGAGAGGCTTCTTATTATTATTTTTTCTCTCTTCCTCACCGTGCTGAAAATAAACTGCARATATGTTTGAAGCGTTAGTGTGACAGGGTGTTAAAACGTTTCTGAAATGTGTGCTCGGTCGGTTAGATTTCCACTCACTTGCAGAGACGAGGTCCATATACTGGCAGATGGCGTGAAGCAGCAGTCTTTCAAAGCTGGTTCACAAACAAAAAAACAAATAAATAAATACCAGAATCACGACTCCTCGGTGTCAGCTCATCAATTATAACCAATTCAACTATTAATTTAGCTTTTGTTCTGCCCCGTTTTCCCTGTGCTGATCAATACGTTTTGTCTATTTAGGGATAATTACCTGCCATTTCCTCACATCCTGCTTTTGTTTGCGTCCTGCTGCTGGGATGACTCAGCTTTTCTGTGAAGGTTTTATCTAATTGAACAGAAATTGCCTTTCCAGGTGGGTAAATAAAGTTACAGTCCATCAGTGCGGGCACTCAGCCTGCGCTATTTGTCAAGTGCTCAGGACAGAGAAATGTGTTGACGCAGTTCGAAGAGCTGTGTTATTTGGAAAACTGATGAGAGGCGGAAGGCAAGTCGGGAGTTGGGTCTGAGCGAGATATTAATGGCTTATTTGGCACCACGAAAATGCGTCATTAAGGCTGATGGATGAACGCTGGAAGTACGAATCTATTATCTTTGCTGCTGTATTCTCAACAATAATTGAAGAAATGTCAGAGTTTTACAGCAAAATAAATGAGGAAAATGATGTACTGTTATCTTCACTGAAGACTGTAAAAACACAGGGGTTCTGCTGTGTTTAAACCAACATAAAACAATAAAAACACTTTTGAATGATTTAAAAATGTATCAMATACTGCTTCGTTTAAACACTGATTCATGATAAAAACTAGAAGCACTCGGAGAGTGCAAACCTCCGCCAAGACCAATTTCCCCCATCCTGTAAGAGTTAATGCACAAAAGCAGAGATGGAAACACATTTGCAGAATAAGTTCTGACGTAGTGAACATTTAAGCAGGCAGTATGCACGGGATTTCTTCCCAGTGGAGTCCACTGTGAAAAAAAAAAAAAAAAGTCAGACTTGTCATCCGACGTTATTCATCGTCAAACTGGTGTCAGATTAAGCTCCTAAGTTTTCATCAGTCACATTTCACCATGTAAAACGTCTGTTTTATCTCCTTGTATGAGTTTGTAATGGTTTGACTCTCTTTATAAAGTGCTTCCTGGCTCCCCCCGTCTCCAAACTTTGAGGC